TACTTGTGGCCATTTGACAAGGAAGATCTCTGTTTTAATAAAAGGTGCCAGAAAGCTCAGAGCTGATATTTCCACAAAGCTGAGTGAAATCTCTTGGCTGTCATCTTGACTTTTGTCACCACTACCCAAAAGAATGGGGTTACATAAAATAGGAGCTGCTGGAATAATATGAAAAAGGAGAGTGATTACTAGTAAATCTTATGGCATGTATCGTACAAAAAGAATCTAAAGACAGTAAGAATAACTGATAAACTTGGAAGATACAGCATCTAATCCTGGACAAATATTTAAACACACATATACAAAAGCATATGGCTTGTTTGTCAGGTTTCCTGTTATATGTTCACATTGATCCATTCCAAGGGGCACATCTACATCCTGTAGTTCGTTCAGGATAAACTTCGCAATTTACGCAACCTTGTGCCTGCACAGCAAACTTTTATATCAACTTTGTTTCCTTGACTGCCACAGACTGCTGGGTACTTTACTCCAAAATGTGTAAGCAGCATAATAATTAGCACTGGCCAGGAAACAAAATTAGTACTGGCCAGAAAACAAGCCCTGGAAAGCTGGTGAGATGAATGCATTTGTTTTTCCTCTGCACTAAAAGTAAACTTTGAAAAGTGGTTTGCAGTAAGAAGTACGGCGACCTCGTCAGACTATTAAACAGCCCCAAGTTGGATGCCTGCTCATGCAGTCAGAAGTTCCCTACCTACTAAGTCACAGCTTTGTTGTATCTCTAACTTTCTGGCAGTCTCTTCTTTTGCAGCTGTTCCATTCTGTATAAATAAACATTTATTGATAAAAAAAAAATATATATTTTCTTCACAACATGGTTTATGCTGAATTCATTCAATTTGTGCCTCCTAGTCTGCAGATCAGTGAATTAAGTGCTAAATTCAAGAATGTTTATTTAAACTTTGTCAAAGCCATTGCTTTCTGACACATTTAAGTAGAAAGGCATACCAATAAAAGGTGAAGGTGCAGAAGAGAGAAGCAGCTTGTTTACTCACAGTGTTCTGAAGTTTCTCCACAGCTTGAGGTCTCACTGCTCCAGCAGAGTGCTTGTAGGGGAGCTGTTAACACATTGCACAAACCCTCGCTATGGCTTTGTTTTGTTACAAACATGCCACTTGGCCTGTGTAAGAAACTGTGAACCAAAAAATGCAAAAATGCTCTTTTTGAAATGGCTGATGGATGTGTATCAGAAACCTTGAGCGAACAAATGGTGGGATCAGAAGTCCCTTCTGATGTATGTTGGTGAATGATACCATGGGTTTTCAAAAAACGGCATTTACTGAATACTTTCTTTCTGGAAAAGACATACTTTGTCTCCTTTTCTGTTTCACAATGCTAATGTCTAACTGGCAAGACGGCTTTATTTTTATAACATCTTTAGCTGTCCGTGCATTTTTAGCAATCAGTCAAACTGGATGTGTTTATTTTAAAACCTGATGGCTAACATCACCTGCTCACCGGATCAAGCACAGCTGCAGTCACTCCAGTCACTGTCACCACATGCATACAACAGGGCCTCGAGCCTGTGGGCTGAGTCCAGCTGATCCTCCCTCATCCTACCTTCAGTTCTGCCCCCTAAAAACCCTGAAGAAAGTCACAAAATGTTCTGTCCCTGCATCCCCTGAGCAGCAGCACCCACAGCTCAAGGTGATCCAGAGAGCTTCTCCTGAGGGCCACTATGATGGATACCACACTGGTACAGCCCTGGGAAAGGCCCAGGCAAGGTGGTTGACCCTCCAGAGCCCTTGATCTATGTCCCTGCTTGTCTTTGTGTCCCTGTGCTCTGTTGTGCTTGTGCAGATGAGCCTCTGATGAGTTCACAGCCTCTGTGATAGGCCTGGGTGGAACTCAGCTGGGTTTTATTTCTTCTTCCTCACCTACCATTGTCTCTCTGTGCCTGTTTGTGGGAATGCAAATTAACTTTACCACATAACCTAAAATCTTGAGACATGCTTCTACACTGCTCCCAGACATTCCTCTTGCACTTTCTTCCAACATTGAAGTTAAGCTCTGTCTGGGATTCCCAGTTCAGCTGAGCTGAAGTCCTGCCACAGTTCAGCTTCCTGCACATCAGGACATACCACGTTTGGGATTTGAGGAGATTGCCCTTGAATCAACTAGCTCTTGCTTTTTTTCTTTTTTATCTTCAGTGTCCCCTGGGTGCATCCTCACCAGATCTTTGGAAAAGCCACAGTCATTAGGTCAGAAGTATTTCTATCAAACTAAACAGGGTGCATCTACAGTTCTGTAACTTTTGGTGTTTTTTTTTCTTTCGGGAGTCGATTTTTCAATTCTTTTTTCTAAGTACTCATTTCTGACCAACTGTCAATTCTGATCAAAAAGCTCCTCACACTAACAGCTAGAAACTGGTCCCTGACTCAATTCATCCCTACTAAAACACAGTGGAGAATCACTCCTCAACTGCACCAGGTCACTGAGTGCCAGTGCTGGTACATAGCACTAGAACATTCAACCCTGGGAGGAAGACTTTGCATGTGCCTATCTAAGTTTATTCTCAGTTGCAGATGTGACAGGTGATGGACAGATGAACCAGGCCATGCAGTGAGTCATGCAGGAATGAAAGAGCTTTGTGCTGTTTGCCTTAAGAATTACTCCACCCTGCCCTTCTGTAGTTAGCAGTTTATTTGAGAAACGCAGTGGGGAGGAAGGAGAAACAAGTGGCTCGAGTCTGTGTAAATACAAAAATGTTATTTTAGATGTTGCTCTGTCATGGGCTGCTGGGTTGGCTCTTTCACACTCTGCAGTTCAAAAATAGGACACCTACCTCAGCATACAGTACAGCATTCATCCATGTGCTTCCTCACATTTATTTACACTAAAAGCAGAAATAGATTTGCTAGATTTTATTGATACTGCTTATTATTGATATCTATATTTTTTCTCTTTTACTTTATTTTCTCTTTTTTTTCTTTGTGGGTTTTTTTTTTTTTTTTTTTTTTTTTTTCCTTCTTTCTTTCCATCAACTTCCTGCAGACGTCACGTGATGAGACACACTACTTACAGTCAAGAGTGCGTGTAGGGTGATGGAAAGGTCACTGGCAAAATAAGACGAAGTGGTGACATGTGGTCCTCCCACACTGTCACAATGCATAAAAATGCATAGGAAAAAAAACCGTGCGTTCCGGTCAAGATAGCAGAATGCTTTGCAGAGAAAAACAGGCATCATGCATATCAACATGCACTGATCTAGTATTTTCATTTCTCCCTTTTAAAGCCCTCAGCATTATATAAAATAAAATGAATAAATTCCATATGGAAAAACAAGCTGCTTAGCAGTGACACAGATGAAAGAAACAAAAAGGCCCCAGCAGGTTGTAATGGGCAAACTGCAAACAATTGCTGGATGGTGCCTTTTTACAGGGCATTTTATCACACTCCAGGTGCGGCAGCTTGAGCCTCCAGTCAGGTGAGCTTGCTCATGCTTGCAGAACCCATGGTATGTATGATCTGTGTTTGGAGAAGTGGAGGTAACTTTGCAGTTTCAAACCTACATGCTGCATTAGTCTCAAAACATGTCATGAGTATGGAAAAAAGTGCATGCATCCCCAGTTAGATAACAGGGATGGGACACGGTATTTCTCCAGCAACTGTTAACATGTACAGCAGCACGTAATGCTGATGGTCCCTCTGCAAACCTCCTATCCTTCCTAGGAAATGCATTCTTGGGGATATAAAGAAATCATACATTTACTTACAGCAAATGTAAGAACAAAGTGGCCTATCCACAACATCTACAGAGTACAAAGTTTCTGGGCTTTCTGCTCTGCTGCAAATTCTAACAGTGTTTCCGTTTGAACTGAAATGTCCCCTGGGTGCTCAAATATGGGTGAATTAACAAGTTCAGAAATGTCCATTAGCAACTCAGTGACGATTAAGGCATTACTGACTTTTGCAGCTATTTTCAGGGGCATCTCCTCACAGAAAATTCAGTAACAATGGATTGGCCCTACCACACACACAACATTCTTACTTCAGAGGTCTCCTGCACAATGAATTTCTCCATGGTTTTTTGGAAGATGAGTTCAGGCTGGAAACCTTATAGATTTGTAAAGCTGCAAGTGTCTACAATTAAAAGTTGAAAATGAAAATAAATGCATGTCTGTTTAAATAAATGCAGCAGTCAATTTTGCATCTGTGTTAACAACTGTTTGGTGATCTACTTAGACATAGCTCAGGTGCAAATAATTGCCATTCAAAGACAGACAGTTAATGCAACAGAACAGAGTTAGAGGACAAATGCATCAAATTCCTCCACCCTTGCTATACAATTTAACACATGGTCACAGAGCCCTGCGTTCTGTATGCAAACTACACAGGAAAGCCAGAAAAGACTTGTGAACTTTTGAATAGCTTCAAAGCTTCAATATACTTTAAGTAGATATACTATAAATAGCAACAAAGCAGAAAGTGGAGTGTATGAAATTTGTTCTCACAGAATTGACAAAATGCTAACGATATTAAAAACAATAATAATTATATACATATATATGTATTTTAAAGCCCACCAAGATGATGAACCATTGCAGTGTCAGATTAGCTGACCAAGGTTTGAAACCTAGTTACTTAGTTCATCAGTTGGGTTTGCTGCACCTCAGGAAGAGCCCTCAGGAGGGGCTGTAACGAACTGACCTGCAGTCAGCAATGTCAGCAGCTATTCTGTATCCCCACACAACACTTTGTATCACTTGTAAAGATGCTACTGTAGAACGGCTTTGCAACCTTGTAATTGGGAAGATATTTTGTCTTCAGCCTGGCTTACAAATGAAAGGAGGCATGCATTGCTTGATTTGCTTCTCCATTCTTCCACCTGTCAGTTCCTTCCTTTCCAAAGACTTGCCAATTTATTGACCAATATTATCCGAAGTCTAATGGAGTGAGTTGCAGAAGTTCTGTTCTTGTTACTAAATTCGTGCACATTCATTTCATATTGGTTTTTTTCTTCTTTTTTTCTTCCTGCGCAGATAGGGTGAACGATGAGCTACGCTGTCTTGTTCAGAGGAGATAAACCCTCACTACAGTCTGGTACTTGGACTTCAATATGTAGAAATACATTTTCTCTTCAGAAGTAACCCTAAAGAGTTTCCATTGGAAGCAAATACAGTTAGAGTAGAAATTTTTATCAAGTAACAACAACCCAAGCAGGATGATAGCAACGAGCTGAACAAGGTAGCTGGGTAATGGCAACCAGTTGAGAAAAAGAGATCTGGGACAAGGGAGTGCTGGTGTTCAAACTGTCTCACGCAGTAAGTGGGAAGGTAAGTCAGCCCACGCTCCTGGTAGAGGCATGGCTCTGTCAGAAGGCATGGCAGAGATGTCTGGGTGCTGAGACTCCTTGTTGCAGAAGCTTTGTTCACAGTAGTGGGTGCAGGGCTGGATGGCATGCTGCTCTTCACAGCTGTCACTTTGCACTCTCTGTTCTACTTACCTCAGCCCATTTCTCATTTTCACTGTTCATCTCAGCCTTCTCTAAATGTTATGACAGCAGTTACCCTGTGAAACCAGGAAGCTATGAAAAGAACAGTCATTGCTATTTCAACAAAAGGAAAGGAATAATTTCTTCAATTATTTTAAAAGCTTTGCTCTTTTCAGTTCAAATTCCCTTATTCTGAAGTTCTGCTGGGCACTGACAGCTAGCAATTACAGGTGTCCACAGTTATTAGTGGCACTGTGCCTAGTGTACTATCCTCAAAATCCAGAGCATTATGCTATAACGATTCTTCATGATTTCTAACCTGATTTTGTAGCCTTTGGAGCAGCCTATTTCCTACCATCCGGAGAACTTCAGTGCTAATATAACTAAGTTTAATCCCATTAAAGGCAGTGATGTTATTTCTAACAGAGCACTCTCACGTGAGAAACAGAATATCATGAGGAACAGCCAGGATACAATCAAATTCTATCAAACTTTTTATTCACTGAAGAAACTGAAGAAAAAAAAAAAACATTTTCTAGAGGTGAGTTTTAACCCAGGGCACTGAAAAGATGCACAACATATTTTTTTCTTATTCATACTTGCAGGTTAGTGTTATTTGGTCCTACCCTGCTGCCAGATATTTCTTTCATGAAGGATTCGTGTCCTCAGCCGTATTTTGGTGTCAGGACTGTCTGTGCTTGAAGTAAGATGCTAAATAGTAAGTGTAACTCTTGAATGGGTTGCTGGGGATGGCTGGGGGTTGTTTGTGCTCTGCTGGGTCAAAAATGTGATCCATCAGGGAGCAGTGGAAACCAGCTGCTTTTTTCTTATGATATGCTTAGCAGTACTAATGCAGGCTAGTAAATTATGCATCATATAGTTGCATTCTTACAGAAGCCTCCTGCTGCTACATGGTATCAAAGCAGAGACTGGCACACGCTTAAAGCATGTCTGTCTTCTAATCTTTTATGCCCACTTTCTGATCCTCCCAGGGATTCAGTGTAAACTGGCAGAAAAACAGACACACCTTGCCTAGAACAATATTAATTTAGCTTTGTCTTGGAAATTGACATAGCTCCAAGGGGTCTAAATCCTGAAGTTTTATCAGACATGGCACTACTTAAAATTGTCAACTTCTCGATAGAAGGCACATGTGGCCACTGGCACACCAGCCTGAGAAGCATGCAGATCCATGAGCACTTCACCACAGTGACAGTTATTGCATTACTTATGCCTACCCTCTTGTGCCAGAACATTTGCAAGAAGTGAGTTCATTCTCACATTCACATTGAGAAAGAAAGAACCATTTCCTGAAGCGCTGGCCTTCCTGCCACCCCCTCATCTCTGCTTGGTGCTATTACTCAGGCTGATCAGGCAGCAGAGGCTTGCTGAAAGGAGGCTTGGCATTTACTTATCTGCTCTATTCCTTACACAGCTTGAGGAGTTACAAACCAGCAGCAAAATCAGCTTTCAGAGCAATTCAGCCTGTACTCACCTCATTTATTTATTCTTAACAATTTGAAACCAAATCAGAAAAGAAAGAAAAGTTTTCTCATAACAGGTTATTGATAAACAACTCTCTTAAAAAGTTTTAAACTTTAACTATTCCAGTTGTGCCACTCAAAAAGAAACTGACTTCAGAATTCCTGAAGGTAGGCGTCTTCAATACCTAGAACAAGCGGAGAATGCAGTTTCACTGTGTAAATTGTTTTGGATAACAACTTCTGTTTTTCCAATGTGACATTTCCTTAGTTAATAAAACTGAACTGCAGCAAGTTGAAAACACATGCAAGAAACATTTTGGGGAAAACTCGTTAAATCACAGAATGGCCTGGGTTGGAAGGGACTTCAAGGATCATGAAGCTCCCACCCCCCTGCCCCAGACAGGGCTGCTAACCTCCACATTTCATACTAGACCAGGCTGCCCAGGGCCCCATCCAATCTGGTCCTGAACACCTCCACGGACGGGGCATCCACAACCTCTCTGGGCAGCCTGTTCCAGCACCTCACCACTCTCACAGTAAAGAACTTCCTCCTGACATCCAAACTAAATCTTCCCTCCCTCAACTTAAAACCATTTCCCCTTGTCTTGCTGTTATCTACCCCGTCAAAGAGTTGACTCCCTTCCTGTTTATAGGCTCCCTTTAGGTATTGAAAGGCTGCAATGAGGTCACCCCACAGCCTTCTTTTCTGCAGGCTAAACAAGCCCAGCTCCCTCAGCCTATTTTCACAGGGGAGGTGCTTCGGTCCCCTGATCATCTTCGTGGCCCTCCTCTGGACCCTCTCCAACAGCTCCCTGTCTTTCTTGTCTTGGGGCTCCAGACCTGGACACATTATTCCAGATGGGGCCTCACAAGAGCCGAGTACAGGGGGACAATCACCTCCCTGTCCCTGCTGGCCACCCCTCTTTTGATGGAGCCCAGGATACCATTTGCTTTCCAAGCTGCAAGGGCACATTGCTGGCTCATGTTAAGTTTTTCATCCACCAGGACCCCCAGGTCGTTCACAGGGCTGCACTCAAGGACCGTTCCTTCCAATCTGTATGGATGCCTGGGATTCCTCTGGCCCAAGCTCAGAACATTGCACTTTGCTGTGTTGAACCTCAACAGTTTCACCCAAGCCCACCTTTCCAGTTTGTTGAGGTCCCTCTGAATGGCATCCCTTCCTTCCACTGTGTCAACCACACCACTCAGTCAGTTCTCCTTTTACATTTACCAAAGGAGGTACACTTGCTTTGGCCTATCTCTTCTGGCCAATGTATCTGTAGAATGTCTTCATACTGTTTTTCACATTCCTTGCCAAGTTCAGTTCTGCCTGCGCCTTGGCTTTCCTGATCCCATGTCTGCCAAGTCCAGACTACATCCTTGTATTCTTCCCATGTGATATGCCCTTGTTTCTGCAGCTTGTATATAGCTTTCTTTGCCTCTCAGTTTGCCTGTCCAGCAGGTCCTTGCTGAGGCATGCTGGTTTCCTGCCCCCTCTGCCTGCTTTCTTTTTCAGAGGGACAGAGAGCATTTGTGCTCTCAGAAAGGCATCCTTGAAGAGTAGTCAGCTTTCCTCAACACTTTGACTTCAAAGACAGCATCCCAGGAGATCTTGGCCAACAATTCCTTGCACAGCCTAAAGTTCTTTCTCCTGAAGTTCAGGGTCCTGACCCCACTCTTTGCCAGACTCAGAGTCCTTGAGATCACTGGTCAGTGCAGCCCACACAGCCTTCAACCTTAGTGCCTTTAATGATCTCCTCCGCAATGGCAAGCAGAGGTCCAGCAACACTTCACCTCTGGTCTGTCTGTTCAATATCTGGATCAGAAAATTATCATCAGTGAATAACCTTGTGTGTATAATTTATTAAACAATCATAACGTTCAGATCCAAATACCTGTATTATCCATAATGTAAACAAGGAACAAGGAAAGAGCAGTAACCTGGGGCTGCCAAAGCAAAAACCAAAAGCTTATTGAAAAGATTTGGAGAAAAAATTTCCTTTGTGAGCTCACTGGTATATGGGAAGAAACCCCTGCCCTCATCCCAGAACTTGCACTGAGGGTCCATCCATAGATCACATCCAGGAAACCTTAGCTATCATACTGTAGAGAGTTTAATTCAATTTTCCTATTTATAAATAGGAAATCTTTCACGTATTTTTATCGTTACCAATATTTTTTGCAACATACTGTAGAGAATCTGTTTCAGCAGAGTAACTGATCTCCAAAGGTCCCTTCCAACCCCTTTGGTTCAGTGATTCTGTGAAAACAAGCATTAGCAATAGCTATTTAACTTCTTTCTGTGATGATAAGCCAGACAGCTTCAGTTTTTCAGCTGAAGGAAGGTGCATGGCAGCATTTTCTTGGCTCTCTCACCTGACCTATCTGCTGAGGTTAGGAAGAGATACGCTGCTTCAGAACTGAAACTTCAGTTCCGAGAACTCTCCCAAGGTCAGTATCTCTGAAAATAAGATCTCAAAACAAAGATAAGTTTATATGATTAATATATGCTTACCACTGAAGGCTTTGTCAGAGCATTTCTCAGGTCTTTAGAACCTACAGGAGCTGTGTCACAAATGCCCTTTCTCACACAGAACCCATTAAAGACAGACACTTTGTGATTACTAACGATTTATAGTTAACATTATGGGGACGTACAGAAGTTTTGTCTATTTTTAGTTGTCTATTTTTAGTTTATTTCAGTTTATGTTTGTTATGCTGGTTTCTGACTTAAGGCAGCAGAATTGCCCTGTGTAGAGAAGGAACTTCCTCCCTGCAGAGCCGTACCTTGTGTTATTTCTCAACATCTCAGAAACCTCAATGTGCACAGTTGTTTTCCTGGGAAATCCCCATGACAACCAGACCAAAGCCATCTGCAGGACTGAGATTATTTCCTTCTTTCTTAATTTCTCATGGGATGATAAACCAAGCCTGCCGTTGTTGATGACCCAAGTTATATTTTCATTACTGCTGTAAAGTTAACGATTAACAGGTAAAATGGGATTCAATGCCTGCCATTTAGGAGCAAACTAACGTCGAGAAACTAGATTGTGGTCGTCCTAACTCGAGTTTCACTCATTCACAGGTGGCCGCAAGGGGAATCTTTATTTAAACAAATCTTCGAGGAGTTTCGCTTTTGTGACTGACTTTCGGACATTCACTTCCGAGAGGCAAAAGTTCAGAACTGCGACCCGGAGAGTCAAAACCGCGAGCAGAAGTCGCAGCAGCCAGAACAGCGGCTTCTCTCTAAGAAACGCAGCGGGGCTGCCCGCGGGCGGTGGGCCGCCTGGGTGCTGGAGCCCGGCCGCCAGAAGGGGAGGCGCCGGGCCGCAGCTCGGTGCCCGCTGTCCCTCCGCCGCCCCTCTCGCCATGCCCTCACAGCGCGGCTCGGCGCGGAGGCGGCAGCGCTGCGTGCTGCTGGCCGGCATCGCCATCCTGCTGATCGCTCTCGTCCTGGCCGCTGTGCTGGCCTCCGCCCTCACGGGGCGCAAAGAGGAGGCGAGCCTGGAGCCGCTGAGGTGGCAGGGCAGGGGGACGACCAGGAACCTGCGGGAGATCGTCCTGGGGAGATGCTACAGTTACCTCGCCGAGGGGCGCGTGGAGCTGGGGTGAGTATTGGCGTCGCGTTGTGCCTGAGTTGAGGGCAGCTCGGCCTCACCTGTGCTGCGTGCCCCTGGCTGGGGGGTGCGAGGCAGCGCGGTCCCAAAAACCCGCTGCATCACAGGGATGTCAGGTTGGGCACGGGGAGAGGTTCTGCACCGTGGAACGCGCTCTTAGGGCTCCTGGGGTTCGAGGAGTGTTTGGGCAGTGCTCTCAGACATACGGTTTGGGTTTTGGGTGGTCCTGTGATGCCTGGAGTTGGACTCGGTAATCCCTGTGGGTCCCTTCTGATGCCATGGTTCTGTGGTTCCAACTGTCTGTGCCCAAGTTGGGGTTTTTAAGGAATCTGTGTGCGGAAAGAATGTGAACATCAGTAACTTTTGGTCGAGAGCCAAAAGTTGGTGAGCACCTACTGCAACTTCTGGGCAGGCAGCTAAGCCAGAACTCGATCCTCACAGCTTGGTGTAAGGAGAGGTGACAGTAATTCACAAAATCCTGTCTTGCCAAAAATCCTGAAGTGTTTAACTTTGCATTCTCATAACCAAGACTAAACAGGAAAAGGAGGTGGTCTGGTACAGATTTATAGAATGGACAGGGATGTTGGGAAATGCAGTGGAGTTATTTGAAACAGCTGTCTTCAGCTTGTGGGAATGACTTCGTCCTTTGTGATGGGATGGTGAGCAGTGCTGGCATGGCAGCCCTGGGCACAGCCCACAGCCAGGGCCCTGCTCAGCCCGTTGGAGCACTGGGTGCTGTCAGACTGTGCAACTCACAGAAAAGGTTCCCTGGATCCCCATCAGAAATTAGGGCTGAGAGCTAATTTTCTGCTTTCTAGCCTCACAAGGAAAGGCAGAGTACAAAGTAAGAAGAGCCATGTGTTCCCTGCAGGTAATGGGGACACTGAGCATTTTGGATGGTTGGCAGAGGATGCGCTCCAACCATCAACACATCACCACTGAACCCACTAAACCTCATCCCCATGGCACCAGCCACCCTGTCGTGTGTCCTCAGTTAGCTCTAGTGGGCATTTCCACCACTGTGAGCCTCCTAACATAACCATCCTGCTCTTCATCTGCAAAAAGACAATTGCAACCTCTCAACCTCAGTGTGTCTTTGCAGCCTGGAAGGCCAACTGTGTTCTGGGCTGTATTAAAAAATGGGTGGCCAGCAGGGAGAGGGAAGTGATTGTCCCCCTCTACTCGGCTCTTGTGAGGCCCCATCTGGAGTACTGTGTCCAGGCCTGGGCCCCCAGTACAGGAAAGTGTGGAGACCCAGGAGCAGGTCCAGAGGAGGGCACTAAGATGATCAGGGGCCTGGACCACCTCTCCTATGAAGAAAGGTTGAGGGAACTGAGCTTGTTTAGCTTGGAGAAGAGAAGGCTCTGGGGAGAGCTCATTGTGGCCTTCCAGTACTTGAAGGGAGCATGCAAACAGGAGGGGGAATGGCTGTTTATGGGGATAGTGATAGGACAAGGGGAAATGGTCTTAAACTGGTCTGGTAGTTGGCAACCCTGCATGTAGCAGGGGTTGAAACTCAATGATTGTTGTGGTCCTTTTCAACCCAGGCCATTCTATGATTCTATGATTCTATGACTCTATGATTCTATGACTCTATGATTCTATGACTCTATGACTCTATGATTCTATGACTCTATGATTCTATGACTCTATGACTCTATGATTCTATGACTCTATGATTCTATGACTCTATGATTCTATGGTTCCATGATTCTATGATTCCATGATTCTATGATTTTCATACCACTGTGCCAATGAAATCAAAGCTGTATATATTCTGTTTGGATTTTGTCTTCTCTTGGACTGCTCAAATAAGCTGATTTGCAGCATTTTAAGTGAAATGAGCAGGTGGAAAATTATGGCCAGACTGCACAGATTTAATGTGTGCTATACATTAAACACCTGAGGGCTTGCAGTGTAGATGAGGAAGCTTCTCTATATAATAGGCTCCTGAAGCTTTTGCAACATCACATACAGTTTTCTAAAAGTGCATATTAACTTATTAAAGAAATATGGACTCAGCTTTAACTCAGGAATCCTTGTTAAAGTGTTTTTGTTCACAACATGATTACTAGGAATCATTTCTTTATTTTTTTTTCCTAATTACACTTTTAAAATTGCAAACTCATGATCAAAAGTTTTCTAACAGGAGTGTTTTTCCAAGGCATAATCTTTTGTGCTGTGCTTAATCCAGCCATGCTTAACAGCTCGAACAACTTGTCTGTTGTAGGTTTTTGAAAAAGATTATTTACTTTTAATAAAGAAACTGTGAAATCTACTTAAGAGAGCACCAAAAAAGGAAAAATATTAATAAGCACCTGCAATGCTCAGGAGTTTACTGGGCAGAGAAGTAAAACCCAGGAGTCTTCTTTGGGAATCTGACCTTAGATTCCCCATTTCTGGTCCTACTGAGATAGATGTAGGTTGTCATGTAACTAACTACTCTTAGCGCTGGTGCTTTCTGATAATAAAGCCAGTGCCTTTAGGACACATCAGAGAGCCCTCCATCTTTCATCCTGCACTCTTTCATCATTAATGTAGGCCTTGAAGCTTCCATTGCGTGGGATCTTTGCTGTACTTCATCAAAGAAAGGGAGTAGGAGCGTGGAACTGAAACTCGGGCATTCCTGAGAACTGATCAAGCTGCGTCCTGCACTCAGCGAGATCTTTTGTTGCTGCTACTATTGTGGGAACCTCACTGCTTTGCTTAGAAATCTTATGTTTTCCTCACCAATTTGTCCAGAGTCTGGTGGAGCCTTTTTTAATCTGTCACTAACATGTAATTTTTTAAAAGCTCTGCTTTAAAACCTGTGTTTTTTCTGATGGTTTTACTT